AGAAAAGGAGATAGTCATCTGCAGCAGCTTCAAATTCATACAGTGTGTGATATTTAACAGAAATATCAACAACGTTTTCCTGAAACTGTCTAGAAACAAACAGCAAACGCTAAATGACAATACTTGAAAAAATGGACACTTTTATATTCTTTTCCAGCTTTCAAATTTTTGGACCCCATGATCTCACAAGGTCTCTTCCAGCCCTAAACTTCTGTAAATCTGAGTGTGAATCTTGGAGTTAATTGCACTAGATAAGACGCTAAGTGTAATAATTACTGATGTTATTACTTAAGGTTACATTTTATTACATCAGAAAATGGGTTTTTCTTCTAATATTTTTCACTGCAGCAAAGAAGTTCCATTTTCATTGCTGAGATGTGTAGCATAAGGTTAGACATCTATTATGGGGCAGTTGTCATGATGGATTTTTAGGTCTTCAACAAACCCTCTTTTTCTTTCTCTTTAACAAAGCTGGATTCCTCTTTTACATATTTTTAAAATCTTTTCTTGAATGTGATGTGCGAGTTGTCAAGATAATTTTAGGAAACTACTGTTCACTTAAGTTTGTTTAATGCACTTGGTGCAGGTTGAAGATGTGGAGACACTGAAACAAAAAATATCTATTCAGTTCTTTGGTATATTGCTAATTTTACCATCTTTTTTTAAAAAAAGTCCCCAGATGAAAGTTCTTATTGGGGAGTATATGAACCCATGATTCCACACTCTAATCTTACTTCACTCATACTTTGAGAGGTAGAGTTAAGATTAAAAAGGTGGTTTCCCTTTAGAAAGGAAATAGGAAACCTCAGTTAACTTGAACCATATTTGTATGGGAATTTTTGGAGCAGATATCATTAAGTTGCAACCTGCATTTATTTTTTCTATATGCTGGACTTGATTTTGAAACAGGAGATTGCTAAACATTTTGTTGTATGAGAGTGATTGTCTTTCTTCACCTTCTAAGTTTTGCTTGGTTGTGGCCTATGTATGTGATTAAAGAATCGTCTATGTAAAAGTCTTGCTCCTCTTACATATATGATGTGTGTATATACAGTGCAGTAGGATTGAATTTGCATGAAGAGAAGCATGGTCTAGATGAGCTGAATGCTTGAGTAAAGTCAAATGTGGCTGATGTGTTTCATAACAGTTAATGAGCAGGGATGATTCCATTTACACCAGTTACACCTCCCTGAGCATTGATTTAAACTTTAAAGCACCAAGCAAGGCTATTTTCCACGTTTGCTGCTACTGCTACTGCTGCCCAGCCCATGGCTCACGCCACTGCAGGAAGGAAGAGGTACCCAACTGGTGACTAAAGAAGAGGGCTGCCAGTTTATGCAAGCGTTTGGGGAGATGTATAGAAAGACTAGCCCTGTTTATTTCTTTTCAGTAGGTGTTTTTGCTTAATTTAAACTGACTACAGCAAGAAAAAATGTACCAACTCAGAACACTAGAGGGAACCAGGAAGAGGAAAAAGAGAGAACATGATGCTGGAGGCGTATATTTACATTTTTGGAATAGTGTATATGAAGAATTCATGTCAGTCCAACTACTAACTCAATTCAGCTATTGCATCTCTAATTGCTGTATCACTAACAGGGGAGCACTCATGCATTCTTGAGATAGGGAAAGGGCCTAAGCTTCCTCTTCCAGTTAAAAGCAGATGGAGCTGGGGAAGAAATATCTATTCATAAAACAGTGTGCCCCCTTTACCTTGTTCAGTGTTGTGACAAGTTGCAAACTCCTAATTACACTTTCTGGGTAAGTTTCTGCTGTCACAGGATTTGCATTTGTGTCCAATATGTGTCTGGATACACATTTCCACAGTAATTTGTATGTGCACATATATAAAAGGGACAGGATATGAGATATATGATGTGATTGAAAAGTTTTATTGGGATAAGTATAGAATGGCTATATTAATCAGGAAATCCAAAGGAAATGTCAATTAAAATCTTTATCACATTTGTGTGTGTGTTTAACCACATGTATAACAGAAATTATTTTAGAAATGTCTTGCAAGTTTTCAGAAATGTCATTGGAATAATTTTATTATCTATATCCCTTAGTCTGTAAATGTAGGTGACATAGCTGCCATGAATTAAACTGTACAGATCTTCAAGGGAAAAGAACAATATAATTAACATGCTTTTAAAACATTTTCCTAAAACCACCATAACTTGGATATTTTGAGAATTCTAACAGAGGAAGGGGCTGCTTCTCATTGGAAAGTGCCCCATGTTCCAAAAATTGCTGCTTCTCACTGAGAAATGCCCCATGCTCCTTTATCTCTGACTGATTATATAATACCAGACCATAACCTTATTGTGGAACTCTATTTTGACAGCTCTAGGCCTGGGAATTGAGCAGTGTTTTGGAAGGAGAGAATTTTTTTTGGCTCTTGTTGTTTGAATCTCCTCTGGGCTCTGAAATACTAGTAGTAGTTTCAGAGGTGATAGCACTGATTGGAAGTGAATGGTTAAATATGCACAAAAAAAATGTATATTGTAATCTTAATGCTGGACTACAATGTTTCCCTAGTTTAAATATGGTTTGAAGCTGCTTAGCTTCCTTTTTCATTATAGAAAATAAAAAAAAAACAAATGTGGTAGTAGTACAGTATTTGTGGTGGGGTTTTTTTCTCTGCATATTATCAGGGACTCTGACTTCTAAATATGAGTTCCATTTGTATTTTTCTTTCCTTTAAAATGAGTGTAGACTTTAGGCTGAATGTGTTATTAAAGGTCGGTCACTTCCAAAATTGCTGTAATAAATGAAAGGATTTTAAGACAAGAAACTAAGTAAACAGGTTGTTTGATGTACTTTGACAAGTCTTTAAAGAGCTGTCACCTCTTCATAATTAAATTATTCAGGAGTTGAAGTGGCCATAAATGATGTATTGAAATAAAAATAAATCAGTGAAGGAGGGTGTTGGCAAAAGAAATAGTTACTACTTGGCAGCAAGGTGCAACAGGTAACAGCAACTAAATAAATATGCCCTATTGAAGTATGCTTGGCACAGAGCCTGAACTTGCAACTAGCTCAGCTACACTGAAGGCCTCATTTCCAATACAGTCCTGCCAGAGAAAATGGTAGGTAGGTTAGAAAGCTGGTACAGAGAGTGAAGGAAAAGACAAATGTGAATTATCTTTCCTCACTGAGTGTACTAGTGCAAGGATGAAGATAGATTTATTCTGCATAGTCCCTCAGGATATAAAACTCTTATTAAGTAAAAGGGAATTTCAGTAGGCAGAAGACTGGCAAGATTGAGATCTAGCCAAATGTACAGAAAATATAGTTAATAGTGCGCATAATTGCAAGTTCCCTAAAACAGGTCCCTAAATTCTGAATGAGAGTGTAAACCATGTGCTTAAATACAGCTCATTCACTAGACAAAGGTCTTATGTTTTCCTGGTGTTTCTTACTCTGAATGCATCACAGATGTTTTACAAACTTAAGTCATATGCAGACCATTGAATGGGGTTGCTTATGCTGCCACTGTCATGCAACTTTTCCTCTGGATAAAACCAAGCACCTTCTGGATTTTGCATAGATACAAAGGAGGATCTTTTTTACATTTGAAACTTTTTATGGAGTCATATAAGCAGAATATAATTACTCAAGGCAGAGTTTGGGAAAGAGATGTAAACAACCCTGACTTTACAATAGGATCTTTTATGACTTCCTGTTAGAACTGTTGTAGGTGTCACTGAAAAATGGCCTTTTCAGTAGCACCATATCTTCTAACTCCATGCTGGAGTACTGCTTCAATACTCATCTGGAGCTAAGAGTACCCACTATTGAACCTCCACTAACTACTGCTTCTTGCAGCATCTCCAGCTGCCAATGAAACAATACTAAGACTGTTTTAAAACTCTTTCTGAAATGGAGGTGTGTAATGTTCTAAAAGTCTGGGCCTTAGGTGCCTCAGTGATCCTAGTTGTTGAAGCCCATAAATGGGTGTGCTGCTTTACAAAACAGTAAGGAACTTGATTTGTACCTCAAAGACCTGGTAACCTGAGGGTAAGATTGTGCTTCTTGTAAGAGTGCTTGAGAACCAATGGTGAGGAGCAGGGCCATAAATATTTGCAGACCTTATTCTCATGTAAGTATAAAAACTAAATAGGCTAGGTCTGTTGTTGATTTTAGGTTCTACAAAGTGAGGCCATTCCTCTCTTGTCTTCCTACCTGCACCCTGGCCAGCAGAATAAAAACCACTGCATCCTTTGAAGAGTTTTTTTTGCAGATTTGCTTCTACCCTACCTTTAAAGCTGGGTGGTGGGTAATTACCACAACTAAATCCTAAAATAAGATGTGACATGATAAAGGCAAGGTGGTGTATTATGTAATAGACAGTGACCTAGGTTTTTAAACCAAATGTGTTAATATATGCAGAAGCTACCTTTTAAATAATGTAGAGTATGACTTAACTTGACAAATCTCCAGTAGTTCTCTAGACCTGAACCCACACCCTGAGCTGCTGATTTGTAGCATATATGTACATATATTGTAATACTATGACAGAGCAGAGGGTGATGTGAGAATGGAATTTAAAACCCCACAATGGGTAGTAATAGCTAGTAAAACAATTTCCTTTCTGCATTTTGATGTACATTAGATAGCTGTAAGGAAAAAAAATGCAATTCCCATGGTATGCATGTAGAACATCCTGAAAAATCTTAGCTGCAAGAGAAAAATTGAACTTTTAAAGCATAAAAAGCAGATCCATTATGTTAGCTGTATTTTGCTGTATTTATATGATGTTCCAATGGGTTTTTATTGTGTGAATTTTTCTTTTCTGTCTCATGATGACATTCTTATTTAAAATCAATGCTACATATTTAGAAACTTGTTTTATTTCAGTGGGTTTTAATTTTTCTTGGAACATTATTGAAGATTTTTGTAATGCTGCTCTAAAAAGATATACTGATTTTAAAAAAAAAATAAATTTTTTTTTCCTTCTCTTTTTCTCTCTCTTTGTTTGCAAACATGTATTCAAGAAGGAAGTGGCAGTTTTTCAGGCTCCTATGGACAAGACCTTGTCTGCCCATAAGAACTCATGTGCTAGCATGCTGATTTTATTATCACTTTGTAACAACACACCATTGTTAGAATTCCCATTTACATTCTAAAGAGGAAGGTAAGGTGAAAAATGTAACTACAGTAGCCTTTGCCATGCTGTGGGTGTGAGTCCTCATTTGTACCTCTTTTATACTAGAACATTTATGAGATGAGAAGAAACTTATATAAGTGATATAGTTTTTTGGGGTTTTTTTCTTCATCTGTGGCTTTAACCCTAGAAAATTCTCTTGGCAGAGACGTTACTTTGTCTTTTGCTTTACACACATTCCTCTGACGTAGAGCTCAGTTTAGAGAGAGGGAGGGTGCGTGTGTGTATGTGAGGAAGAAAGAGAAAGGGGGTGGGGGGAAAGACACATACACAGAGCTAGTCTGACCAGAAACAGAACTGCCCCTGGCAGATTAGAGAGACAAGTGAGGCTTGGAGTGTGAATCTAGAGAAAAGAGAGTGGAAATTTACAGCTACTGCGAGTGAGTGACTATGTGCATGTTCAAGTGATCATTTCTGTTAACGTTTTTCCAAAGGGTAACATTTAGTCTTCAGTGAGGAAGAAGAGACTGAATTCTCTGGAGTCGGCTTTCTGTGACACATGTCAGTGATACAGAGGAACTTACATTAAATGGAACATAAATAAAGCCTCCTCCATCTGGACTGTGCTGATTTGGGGCTGGCAGAGAGCTGTCTTCAGCACCGCATCATGTATCTGCTTTTTGTTGCTTAGACAAGCCTGGGCATTTCTGTACACAGTGAGTATCTGTAAAGATTATCTAGTCTGAATTAAATCAAGTTAGGTAATTTTAGTAAAACTTTTTCAGATTATAAATAGCTCTTTGGGTAATAAACTGCTCTCCTATTTATTTTCTATAGTTGCATTGTTACCTTTTTGTAGCCTTGTAAACTAATGTTACCAGGAGTGGCTTAAAAAAAAGGCAATCCTAAACAATACTTCTTCTGTTACATAAGGCACTGGCTCCGTTACCAAATATTTTGTGTCCATGGAATATCTTTGGAAATGAATTTATTTACAATGGCATTTCCAAAAATAAAATAGCTGCAATATATAATTTCTCCTGCTTCTTGCTGCTCACTGCCTGCAGCTGCAGCCTTGCTCTTGATTATACAGAGAAAAGAGGACATAGTTTCATAAGAAATTCAGGAGCTATTAAGTATGTATGTAAGATGTGAGTTTGTATGCAAATTGTCACAAGGAACTGCATATCTCACTATAAATAGAGGGGTAGAGGATGATCTAATAGGTCTCTTCCATCTCTATTTTTTATGATTCTGTGGAATAATGTGCTAGTTCTTACTTGGTCCTTACTCAGGCAAAACCTTTATTAAAGCCACTGGGGAATTTTGCCTGAGAGAGGACTTTTGGATGTGACCCACTTTTAATAGCAAAGTAAAATCATTGCTCTGCCAAATTATTTAATTTGGATGAGGGAACTGCTGAAAAATGATGCAGCACTACCAACAGACCTGCCCAAGTGAATGGTGGTGAGATGGGTCACTTTCTAATAATGTTTAATATAAACAAAGAAGAATAAATACACTTGCTAATGTTTTGAACTAATGGACTGAGAGTAAGTGTTGTTGGTTTTTTCCTTTTTGGCTGCTGTCTCTTGTTTCTTACATTATTGAGTTCCATTATTAGTTTCCTTCATTTCAGTGTTTGCTAGTAGTATTATAAATGCAAATTTAAGCTAAGAAGTCTCCCTCTTTCATAGAAGCATATGGTTGGAAGTGTCATCTGGTCCAAGTAAATAGTAATAGCTCTTAAATAATTACTTTAATTTTAAAGGCCTGCGGTGCTTCATGAACATTTAAGGGTATAACTGTACATTGTTGTCTGAGAGTTTGCTTCTTTAGGATCAGGATTTAACTCTGCTTGTGTTTCACAGGTGTCTCTGAGGTGCTGTAGTGAGAGATCCCCAAAATGTCTAAGTTTCACCATACCTGAGCTGTCAGTTGCTATCTGAAAACCCAAAGTATGCATCTCATTCTTGTCATCTTTGTGTGGGCTAACACTTTAAAACTTACTACTGCTGTAAGAAATTCTGTTAGCTCAAGTGGCAGAGGTCTGTGCTGTGGATCTAAAGATTCCAGTGTTGCTGACGCAACCAGTGTAGGTGTGACCATGATGCTGCATGATATGTTGGGGTTTTTAAGTTTAATATTCCCCCACCCCCAACAAAAAAGCCTAGGGAATTACAGGGGTGTAGCCGTGTTAGCCTAAGGACATAGGCAGATAAGGTTCTTTGGGTGAATCTGATATCTTTTATTAGACCAACCTAAATAGTTGGAAAACAATTATTAAGCAAGCTTTCGGGTTCAAAAACCCTTCCTCAGGCTAAGGAAGTTTCTGCAGTTGGTATGTGCTCTTTACCAGGAAGAGCACACACCAACTGCAGAAACTTCCTTAGCCTGGCGAAAGGTTTTTGAACCCAAAAGCTTGCTTAATAATTGTTTTCCAACTATTTAAGTTGGTCTAATAAAAGATATCAGATTCACCCAAAGAACCTTGTCTGCCTAGGGAATTACATACATTTAAACTACCTTATTATTAAGGTTGTGAATTCAAGCACTTGAAAGTTGGTAAAAGCTAGAATTAAGGTTGTCGGTATTGTCTTAATTTACATTTACTCCAGACACAGCATTATGATACAGTCTTAAGGTACATAACTGCTTAGTATTTTTCCCTAGCATACACCCCTGCTTCATTCAATGAATGAGCAGTTATCAAATAACCTTTTTATCCTTTTATAGCCAATGAATCTTAGTGGCCAATGTTTTATTTAATTCCATAATGTCCAAACCCTCTATTGAATACAACATTATTAATGTCTTCATGTAATGTTATATAGTGTTTCCATCATAGTATTTGAATGCAGACAGACAACAATTATAACAAATTTAAATTTATAGTAGCTTATTGTGGTTGATGCTGAACTGATGCAACTCTTATCTGGCTTCTCCATTATTGGTAGAAGTAGAACTAAACTGTTATAATAATGTATCACACACAGGGTGGATTTGATTTAAATGACTGTTCAGGAAGCCTCAATTTAATCATTGTTTTCTAATAAAAGTGCATTCTTGTTTGATATTCTCTATTCATTTAACTTCTTGAAACTTTGCACTTTTAGAGAGAAGGAAGGGCTTGTTTCTTATGTGCACAAACTCGCAGAGAGACAATAGGGATGATGCGTAGGTAATCAGGTCTGTTATCTCTCATCTCCATATACTGCTGTTAACAAGGATGTTATCTCTAGAGAGAGAAATCCACAGTTTTGAGAGCTGAAACTAAGCATCACAGAGATGCTTAATGGGATCTTCAAGACTGAACACTGAGTCCCATTGGGTAGAGGGGTCTTCTTTAATCTTTACTAATCTGTAAAGGAGCCTCTGGGATCCCCATAAGATTGGCCCCCTAATATAATCCATGACCTATTGTGACCCATTTATAAAACTTTTCTAAAAAGGTTACATGAATATATTGTCTCAAATAGTATATAATTAGAATTTATAATCTCTGTTCCATGATGATATCGTTGAGCTCTAACATATCTTAAATTATTTTTTAAAAGCATCTTAACAAAAAATACAATTAAAAAAATAAGATTTAAATAAAAAAATCCAATTTTTAATTTTTTTTATATCATTGATTTTTATCCACCCTGATCACACACGATGCATTTAATATCAAAGATCTGTTGTGAAGATATGTGGTAGTATTGCCACCACTTTACAGGTGGGATACTGAGACAACAATCTCTCCTTTGCACGCTTAATTTGAGATGCCTACTGCCTGGCTCTTTTTAAGTACAGTACTTCATATTTTTGTAACACTTCATGTGATCAAGTGCAGCTCTAACCAACCTATATCTGCAAACACTAAGTATTTCTGCAAATCTTGTTTCAGGTGTCTCATATTGGGCAACTTAGAGGAATACCTAATTAGTGGCCAGCTGTTCAAAGTTTGGTTTTAAGTGACTTGCTTAGCCTCGGAGATAAATTTTTGTGCAGAAATAGAATTCAGTTATCTGGGGCACCGTTTAGCTACCCTAAATATGAGACTGTCCTTTTCTTTCTGACTGTTCATGACACTTTCCAAAATCTGCAGCAGATGAAACAGGGCTCCTGCAGATAACATTTTAATTTGTATATAGTCCTGATTCGTTTCCCAAAGTGCTATTCATCCTATAGACCGTATAAGTCTTGGGTCCTGTGGAAAGCATAATGTAATTAAAAACTATACATAAAAATGCATAGTCACAAGGGTGGGGAGCAAATTTAATATTGTATGAGCAACTTTAAATGTTGCATTTTCTTATTTGAATGCCTGACTTTCCTATGATTCTATGAACAGTGCAAAGTAAGAATGGAAGGGACCTCACAATGTTATGTAGTCCAGCCCCATTTAATGTGCGTTGTGGGTTTTGTTTTGTTTTTTTTAACAAAATTGTGTGTTTAAATTTTTTATGGAGTTGAAGGAGATTAGTTTGAGGAACTGTATATTGAAATGTTATTAGGCCAGACACACAATGTATTGGCTTTAATATATTAGATGGGACTGGGGAAAGTTTAATTTCCAATTTTAATTTCATTTACTCACCCAGAGTAAGCTAATAGAATTTTGTGGTACTGAAAAATGTGATCAAGGAAAGGATAGGGAAACAAGTGTAGAAGGTGTTCTTGTCTGAATTTGAGCAAAATACACACACACACACACACACACACACACACACACACACACACACACACAAACCATTTACTGTTCAGAAGTAATATGGAAGAAGAATGCTTTGAATTAATCACATGCTGTCATTCTTGTGTTTGTGGGCAGGAGGAAGTGCTTGTTGCTGATCTGCGTAACTGAGTCACTGTATAATGATGGGATGTGCTGATGGCTGAAGTAATATTGCTGTCTGCTTTCCTCCTTCATTGTTCATATAAGCTCTTATAAATTCAACTCTTTATCAGAGGCTGTGAATAATAAATAAAGGAGAGCTTGAGGTGGGTGCCTATAAAGTAAGCTGATCTAGATTTTGTTCATCATATACTTGTATTAAAAAGCTCTTGTTTCACTTAATTTTTCTGTAGTTCATAAACTAACTGAACAGATTTCTTATCTGTCAGTCAGTTCATAACCCAGCCCCCCCCTTCCCCCCTTCCAAAAAAAAGTCAGCTTGGATGTTTTTTGTGGGGGTTTTTTTCTTTTTTTCTTCCTTTGGCCTATTATACTAGAGTCTACAACCAAGAGCTAAAAGGGGGTGGTGACCTAGCATTTTTCTCTCTCCATCTTACTTTAGCATCCCTGCATGATTTAAAATGGCACTAAACTTCTCATGGAAGCTCTAGGAAATTGTTGTTTGGTTGTCTGTTTTGGGGAATTCTTTTAATTTCCAGTTTGGATGAATTGGATTAGTATTGACACATCTTCTGAGATGGAGAAACAAACTCAAAGCTGTACAGTCATGCACATGCAATACAAAAAGGAAGATGGAGAAATTCTAATTACTTATCAGATTTACAGAAAGCGTAGACTTTATCAGACTTTTCCCACTTAAACGGTGGGAACAAAACTAATTTTAATTCTCTTAGCTAGCATCTTGCCCATATTTCAAAACTACCAACAAACTAGATTTTAGATTTCTAGACTGATTTGGATTGGGTGAGGGAGGTGTGGAACTTAATTGTAAATGGTTGTTTCTCATAGGTGGCACTTGGTACCTTCCACAAATCTCTTTTCAGTTGCTGTGATGTTTGCTATTAGGCCAAAGGGATCAAAGAAATATATAGCACTGGAAAAGAACTCCAGGTGACCGAGCCCAGTCTCCTGTTATTGCAGGCAACCATGTCATAGACTGTTTTTACTTGAATCTAAGATTACCCTGAATTTGAAGATGATACCCCCCCCCCCCCGCGATAATTAGATTCCATACATGGAAAATTTATAAATTTACTGTAATTTCCCATGTACAGAATCCAGTTATTGGAGGGTTGTCTTTAATTCATCCCCACTGGCTACTGCGTGGGGGGTGGTCAAGTAACATGCTTCCCTACCACCTCATCCCCCCACTGCAGCATCAGTCTTTCCTTCCCTCTGACTCTCCTCCCACTCCTGCCACTTCTTCCCAGTCTCTATGTCCCCCCCCTCCCCCTTGCTCCATCTGACAGGCTCTATCCCCATTGTAACCTAGGGCACTGAGCACAGCCCAATCTAGCCCCCATAGCAGCCACGCACACTGTGCACTGCTGCTATGGGGCTGGCCTAGGGCTGTGCTTAGTGACATAGACTGCAGTGCGGAGCCTGCAGAGATTGCAGTGGAGCAATGGTGGAAGGCAGAGGTGGAGGGGCAGGGGGCAGGCTGCAGCTACAGCCCTGAGCCTGGGTAGGGGCTGGAGCCTGAGCGCCCCCGCCCCCTCCCCGCCTACTCAATTCTAAGATAAGGGGTTTCCCCCCATGTTAAATTGGGGGGGGAAAAACTGGTCTTAGAATTGAGTAAATATGATAAATCCTAGGAGTGTACCAATTTTAAAGATTTTCATGGCTGATACCGATAGCTGATGATTTAACCAACCATATTGGCCGATGCCAATCCGATAACCAATATTTAGTTTTGCATTTATAACACATGCACATATGTGTCTCCTGACTGGTCCAGCCCTTAGTGAAGAAGGCGGTGATCACCTTATTCCCATTCATGTTGCCCCCTCACCCACGGCACCTGCCCGCACCTCCGTTCCCTGTGCAGCCCATGCTGCCATCCTGGATGGGCAGGGTGAACCCTTGCACAGACAGTGATGCCAGGCACATTTGAAGCTCTAGAGTACACTGTTGCCTCAGTGCCAGTGGGCCCTGTGCAGCTGAGCTCCTGCAGCCACCAGCGAGAAGCTGCTTTTGCAAAAGCACCAGGTGCTCAGTGAAGCAGCATGTCCCTCATGCGGTGCCTTACCCCACCTGTGTGCAGCCCAATATCTCTGCAACAGCCCCAGTGCTCAGGCCCCTGCTATGTGTGTGGCATTGCCGTGGCGGCAGCAGCAGAAGCTGGTAACAGTCCCTTTGAGCGTGGCGCTCTGTGACTGCTTCTTGGTGCCCCCTCCCTCTCCCTTAGCTCGCCAGAACCTGTAGTCTGCCGTAGACTTGGGCCAGTGCCGGGGTGTAGGGACCAGACTATGCTCACCAGGGTGCTCTGGGCACACAGCTATAATTATCGGCTACAGAGACCAAAAAAAGGTGATAGCCGATAACATAATTTCTCCTTTTATTGGTGCCAATCTGATAGCCAACCGCTATATCAGTGCACCCTTAGTAAATCCCTTCTGTAACAAATTTAAAAAGGAAGTTTTGGGTTTATGGTTAATAGACCACAGGACTGGGCATTAAGAAATCTGAGTATTATTCTTAGTTCTGCCATTAGCATCTTCTGTGATCTGGAAGGAGTTGTTTAACCTTCTTGTGTCTCAATTTCTTCCTTTGCAAGTGGGATAATAGGACTTGCAACACACCTCTAAGTCACAAGAGTCTTAATTAAATGGTTGAAAAGTTCTTGGAGTTCTCAAGGCAAGCATGATACCTAGGTGCAAAGGGGCATTATATTGTCTTAGCCATCCCTCTGAACACTTTGAGGACCTGTTCACTGCAAACCTCATACAATTCAAGAGTTAATGCATTGCTGGAGTCTGTATTATATGTTTTAGTCTCTTAGCTGTACATGTATGTGCATACTCATGGGTCTGTCAAGGGATTGATAAGGTAATCTGGTAAAATACAAGAGCAAGAATTTCATGTAAGGAATGAAAGACACTTTCCCCTTCATCCTAGCCGCCGGGGGGGGGCCCCCCCAAATATCTTTGAGATTTGAACAGACCCATTTAAACCTTTGGGAAAGGTTGCTTTAAAAACTGCTTTTCATATTTTTGGAATGTTCTAAAATAAAGCAAACACATTCTTTCACAAATGTCTAGCTGTATACAGACAGAACTGACACTGTCTCTAAGATCTATTTGTAAACTTTGAGCTCATGAAAGATGTTTGACTCTTCATCCCTGGAGACTGAAATGTTCTGTTTATATAAAGGTTATAACCACAGGCAGTGGAAGTGCATGATTCCCCACACAACCCTGCCAGTGTGCCTCATTCCTAAACTGGAGGAACCACCACTAAGGCTGCGGGACAGGGTGGGGGGGGTGTCTCACTCTAAATAATCTGTTCCTTCCTCGATTCCCTGAGATTTGCCAGCAAAGATATAAATTTAGTGCTACTTGTGGTGATGCTGATGACCATTATGAAGCTGTTGTTCCCTGTAGGAAACTTGCAAGAGATCACTATACCCTTTTTATGCAGGCCACTTAATAACCATCAAATAATTAAAAACTTTTAGAGAAACATAAGAAATAGGACTGAAAGGGACTTCCTGACTCATTGAGTGCAGTCCTTTGCTGCTACAGACAAACTGGTACATATTCCCTGCATAAACTTATCCAGCACCATTTTAAAACTAGGTAAGTTCCTCCCCTTCCTTATTCGGAGGCTGTTCTAGAAACTCATTCCCCTGTTGATTAGAAACCTTCTTCAGATTTTCAGATTACTATTTTTTTTCTTCTTTTGTAATCAGTTTATACCCATTTATTCTTGTACCAACATTATCCCTTTACTTACCTGGCTCTCTTTGTTCCTTAAAGCAGATCCATCCAACTTCAAGGGTCAAGGGTTGCCATACCCCATGGACTGCACTGGTGGGGGCTGCAGGACCTGGGCCCTTAACCTTGTCCTGTGCAGATGCCTCTGCCACTGTACTGCGTGACCATGCAGCCCCCCCCCCTCAGCTCCTACACTGCTGCTGCCTGTACTGATGCAGGGGGAAGGAGGGTTGCTCCCCCCACTGCTGTACCATGTGCCCATGAAGCCCTGGAGTCAACCCCCACACTCTACACCAGCCACACTGCCCTGTCTCTTGAGGCTTAGGCAGAAAAGGGCAGATGGAGGAGAAAAGAGCCCTTGCTGTTGCAGCCTTGTAGTGGAAACAATGGCCAAGGAGACCTGGGCTGTGAATTTAACCCTTTGCAGGCCACCAGACAGCCACCCTCCCTTAGTTTATTCCCTTCCCCCTACTGATGTATTTATAATTGTTTTCAGCCTTATACTCCTAATTTTTTTCGCGCACATCATGAATGACAGTTAATTGCAAGACTGACCTTGGAGGAAATCCACTGGTAACTTCTTCCTGTCCCCTGGATAGCTCTCCTTAGAACCTTTACCTTATTCATCTGCAAATTCTTGTATTTATCTCCATTTTACATTTGGTAAACCTATGTTGATTTTATCCCCCTTTCTGTTTACCTGCAGTAGCAAGTAATGGGTGCTGTAGAGGAAGAGTATAAAAACATGGTATGTGTAAAGGGTTCCATTCCCTGTCTTACTCTCCCAGTAATCAGCAGTCATAGGTTTAGGGGTATGCTGTGCCTGAGGTTATAGCCTTGATAGACAAATTCGTGTAGGACAGGTCTAATCTGATGATAGTCATGGTACTATGGCACCTAGGGGTGCTTTGATATCCTTTCAAGGGTATCACCAAGTGCAATGCAATGTTAGCACTGTTAGGTGTGCAAACATGATTCATAAGATAAACACAGATATTTCAGATAAGAATCCATAATGTTAAAACCATTCTGACTTGTTGTCCTTCTGAGTTTTTTACAACTGAATTGCTCTATGATTTTTCTGTAGCCAAAAACAGAATGAAAAATAAGAGCTTGCATTTTCCAAGGGATGCCTTGTTAGATGCAAGGAAACTCTTGTTGCATGTACTCAAAGTTGAGAACCACTGGTCTAACCTCTTTTTAAACCTGGTTATATTATTGGTCTCCACAACAGTCTGGCAAGTTCCATATCTTAAAAACATAAGAAATACCCTACTAGGTCAGGCCACAGGTCCATCTAGCTCAGTATCCAATATCTCACAATGGCAGAGAGTGGATCCTAAAGGTGGACAGGGTCTAGCCAGACTGCTCTGTTTCTTGCCTCTTTTCCCTTGCAGCCTTCATCATTTAGGGGCCTAGAAAGTCATCATTTGGAACCTGTGGCACCTACAATTTTGTTTGATACCCAGTAGTGGACCTGTCCTATATGAATTTATGTAGCCCTCTTTGTGAACCTGATTAAATTGTAAGCCTCTACAAGATCTTGTGGCAATGAGTTCTGCATGTTAATTACATGCCGCGTAAGCAGGAACTTTCTTTTGTATGTCTTAAGTCTCTCTAATAACAGCATTGCATGTTGCCTAATTTTAGGATTGTAAGAAATGGTAAATCCCTATATAATTTTTCCATGCTGTTCATTATTTTATAGACCTCTTTCATATGTTGCTGATGTGCTGTTTAAAGCAAAACAGAAACAACATTTCCTTTTGTTAGTTTTAAATCTTTCACCTGCCAATTTAGTTGGATCTTCCCTAGTTTTTTTTTTTTTTTGAGACTTGGTAAATGATACTTTCCATTTTGCTGGGTCCAAACCATGCATGATTTAAAACAGGGGTGGCCAACCCATGGCATAGGCAACCACTGTATTTGGCACATGGCAAATCAGGTAGGGAACAGATAGCAAAGCAGCAGATAGGGCAGGAAGTAACAGGCAGGAAGCATAGAGCTGAAAGCAGAGCAGCAAATTTGGGGAGAAAGAGTACTGGAGTGATATTCAAGAAAGGTGCATGACTAATTTGTGGCATGCCTGCCAAAAAGATTGGTCCCCAGTGATTTAATAGACCTCAATTCTACCCACTTCAGTTTCTTCTTTTCCAAGCTTAAGGAGACCTAACCTTTTCAGTCTTTCCTCTCTTTTTCAGATGGGATGACCAGAACAGCACATAGTATTCATGGTCTCATGGATTTATATAATGGCATGCTGATGCTTTCTGTTTTATCTTTACTTTTACTGTGGGAATTCCTCACAATATCCTCTACAATAAAGACTGATCCAAAGAATTCATTTAGTTTCTCTTCTCTGAGTGCATCTTTTTACAACCTGGTCATCCAATTCTCTGTCAGACTTCTTGCTTCTGATGTATTTAGAAGAGAAAAGTAGTATTCTCAGTGGGACTTTAAGAATTGTACTGCTTTGGGGATGCTCTGCCACTTTCACACCTAACCGTTGATCAGATTTTTGTCTAGAGCAGCAGTGCTCAACCTATGGTACATGGATCAGAGCTAGCCTGTAGCACGAAGGATCAGTGGCTAACAGCTCAGTTTGGCACATCCCTTTCCCTCCCTGCACAGTGTTCCTGATCCCCTTTGTAGGCTTCCCTACTCTCTCCTTCTCCTACCCGCTATAGCAGGCACTGTTTACTTACTACCTCTCCTTTCCCCTGTGGCAGGTGCTGTTTACCAAAGGAAAGCCCTCTCTCTCGCTCTCTCCCACCTCTGACCTTAGTAGCCCCCTTTTTCACTCCTATTCTCCCTTCCCCCACTTCCATACAGGAGGGGAGTGGTGGTTCATGGTACAGCCTGGTTGCAAGCACCTGGGATTCTCCTAAAATGGGGAAAAGCTTTGGCTCATCAAGTGAGACACAATCCTGTTGCAACTCTGGTGAAAATAATGACTATTTAGTACAGATTTTCTGTTCTACAGACATGCATAGCTCATTCCTTTTGGAAAAAGGTAATAAGCCTTGTGATCCTTGAAGCTATCTTTGAATGTATCAAAGGATATGTGCATATAATCTTTCACTTCTTCCCCTTTCTCACTGTTCCTACAATAACAAGGAAGAAGCATATGAAGAGAATCTCCTAATGGCCAAAAATTTATTTAGGAATCAAAGCTACCAAATTTACCCTTACCACAGCTGAGTGTGAATTGTGTCTTAATTTTGCTAGCTTTCTAAAGCACACTTTCAAAAGGTAGTTTAAAGGCTAGCAACACAAATCTCCCTATTTCCTCCCTCTTGCAGGTACCATCACTCCTCATGTCTTGTCTTCAGTGATGGAAAAAGGTCTAATTTTGTAAAAACATTATTGTTTCCAACGTTTATATTTTAAACTATGCCATGTGATATAACGCTTTTAACCCATGGTATAGGTGTTAATTCTGGAGTCCCTGTTACTTATTAACAGCATTTAGACAAATATATCATAAACTATCCTTAACTATTCTTAAACCTTTGGGATGAGGTAAGGTAGTTAGTGAGAGGTCCCCTTCTTTCTCAGTATGTGAATGTTGCTGAGCATGCCCATTTGGGGCATACTGATGACTAACTCACCACAGAAATAAGAATTTAGCTTGAACTGATCCCTAAGAAGCTTGAAAATTGGAAACTCAGACTTAAACTTTTAGAATTAGTGTGCAAATATTTCTCTAGAACTAGCCTTGCAATACGAGTTATTTGCAATAAGAGATATTTTTAAATTTTAAATTATATTTATAATTATATTTTAAATATAATTAAGAAACCTGCCACTGAAACCATGTTTTTCAAAAAGCAACTCTTACATTTGTATCACAAATAACTTGCAAAAGAAAAGGTATCTGTAAAAGTGCTCCAAGACATTCCATTAAAAAAAAAATTAGGATAGGACTTGTCTCATTCTGTAAACTTCATGTATTTCTGGTGTTTTATATAAATAGTAGTAATATAAATGATTCCTTCGTAAGAACCCCTAAGGGGAAAATGGTGGCTGTGGCACAGAGTGCTACAATAGTACTAATAATATTACAGGGGGAGAAATGTATTTGGTAAGTCCATTTAGATTTTTATGAGGTAAGGTTGAATGTTATAAACATAGACAATTATCTATATATTGTAATTTCTTTATACTCTCCTTTTCAGCAGATCATACATTTCTTATTTGAGAAGTATATTGTATAACAAAAATTATATGGACATTAGAATAATTTTTCTTTGGTTAATTTACTTCTTAACAGTGTTTGCATCTTCATTCTTTCCATGTTTTTCAACATGGGATCCTGTCCAGCCTAGTGCTGTATGTCCCTTTTGGTAAAGAGATCCAGGCTGATCCCGTGCCTGCTCAAATCAGTGGACTCTTTTTGTTGACTACAATAGGCTTTTGTATCAAATCCTTAGGACACATTTACTCTATCCAAAGACTGTGCTAAGGAGTGCTGGAGTGAAGCATGCTATGCCTATTCTGTGTGTTTTTTCTGTTTTTGCTGTAAGAGAGGTAGGGTTGTGATATCTTAGTTTTTGAGGTGAATTTGATGTCTTTTCAAGGATGTACTTTAGTCTATATTGCAGGGAATTCTATAATTTGTATGAGAAAATAAGGGAGTTTGGGTTGGGTATCTGTGGTGGCCTCTCAGGATTAGGTTTCCTTCCTCTGCTTGTCTTCCTTTCTCTTAAGATTATGCTTACAATACTTGTTATACAGTTATATTGGATTTAATCCATGTTTCAGAGTTTATGATAGTTATAGTTATATTTAGAGGCCAGGAAGATATTTACTGCCTTGAATGCATAACTTTGGTTTCTGTTTCTTCCCCCTTGCTTCCTGTGAAGAGTTGGAGATTGGCAGCAAGTAGAGGCAGGAGACTAGACAAATTGCACTGCTGCTTGTAGTGATATTGAGGAAATTCTCAGGCACCAGGCTAGTGGATCAGGGTCACATGCTCTCAGTTAAACTGCTTGCTAGAAAATATTTTCTCCCAGGTTGTATTGGTGTGTCGTTGCCTTTCTCTGTAGCATGGGGTCTAGTCCATTTCCTAGCATTATCTGAGTATAATTTACCTAACAAATTCCCAGGGCATTCGCTGCACCTGTGGCTTTTCCTATTTTCTTTCTCCAACATGTTATAGTTTTTGGGGGTCCTTTTTTACTAAAGTTCCTAAACGTGTTAGAGGATTTTTTTTTTAGCTTTGTTTGGGGGTGGAGGGGAGAGCAGATGTTCTTGTGGACCCTTTTGGACTTAACATTTGTTTTGACTCAACTTAAGCATTTGGAACCCAGAGTCCCCTATGTCTCTCATTACCATACTGTAGATCAAATCTTTTACATAGATTACACTGCATTTTGGTAGTAATTGCAACCAAAACTTTAAGTTGACTTATTTCTTCTTTGGTTTTAAGGCAATCCTCAGCTATACTGGAAGAAGAAATTCAAGTGAAGGAAAAGAAACATGCCTTTGTTTAGTAAATCACACAAAAATCCTGCTGAGATAGTGAAAACTTTGAAAGAGAACATGGCCATCTTGGAAAAGCAAGAAAAAAAGACAGACAAGGTACGAGGTAATCTTTTACAAGACCAATGAAAAGGCATTTAAATGTACTAGAGAATAATAGTATAAAGAGTGAAACTACAGTGTACATCACAGACCTGACTCTACAAATATAAGGACTCATTAGTACTTTTATGATTAACTTTATGCATGAGGAGTTCCACTGAAGTTACTAACTTCACATGAGTGAAGCTGAATCAAATTTTGAGAAAAATCTAAAATGTTTCTAGATCAAAGAGGCTAATACCAAAACATAATTTGTTTAAATTGTACAAGCAGATATCAAAATATCAGGGAACCAAATTTTAAATATACTTTTTAAGGATTACTTCTTTCCAGCTGACAAACAAGACAACAAAATTTATATATAATTCATATAACAATTCATATAATTGTTGTGCCACATGTAAAAAAACAATTACTTAAAAAAATGTATTTCTATGTTGAGTGTCCTCACTAGCCTAACTAATTGGGACATGCAGTGCAGAAATCCAAATTTTAATTTTTTTGCTTTGGGGTTCTTTCAGTTCTGCAGTGGTTGAACTGTGGTTCTTGGGGTCTCTCACGTGGACCCCAGTGATAAGTAAATTAGAGGGAATCTGGCTTTTTATGAGAACCAGTAATTGATGATTTTTCAACTTTGTAAATTTGAATTTCCAGAATATCTTTTCCTAGCAAGATAAAAGGATTACAGATATAAAAGATTTCAATTGATCTATTGGGATAAAAATAACTTTCAAATTTGAAAATGGCATTCATTTTATGGTTGATTGTAACTGAACATTAACAGGTTACTTTGAATATCAAAAATCCTAATCTAGTTATTTAATTAACACGTCATTTAATTCCTAGTCTTGTCCATTCGGTATTGACTCACACAAAAATGGGCCTGTTTAGAAAAGTACTTAACAAAGCATTTAAAGATGTGCTTGAATTGAAGTCTTGTACAGTACTAAGATCAGGGACTCCAGAGCAGGCAGTAATAAGAAATTATATTTAATCACTTAGTGGTATCCCTCAGTTGAAAGAGTTGCACTCCATTGCTCTGAAGCAAGTCCCACCCATTAAGGAAAAAGGCCAGACAAAGGATCCTTGAGGTTGGGGAAGCAGGTCACAATGTGGAGATCCTTAGGGCTCCAGTGAATGTTTATAAGAACCTGAGAGGATAAAGTGCCTCTCTTAGAGAGAGAGAGAAAAATAAAACCCCCAAAACAGTAACATAAAAACCTGTCCATGTTCTTGCATATTTCAAACCTTGGAGTGCTTAGTGCATCTGCACTTATTCCATATTTTGCCATTGTGTATATATATTTGAATGTTTGCTAAGAGAGAGGGTTCAGGTCACTGTGAAGTTTCCATATGTTTTGCTGAACTGAGAAGGCCTGAAAACCAGTTATTACCTTACTGAAAAATTCATTTAAAAATGCCACATCTTTCATTTCTATTAATACAGCTAAAGTACTTTCTTCATTTTGTTTTTGATTAACATCTGTACAACATAAGCACAACTTGCAACTAGCCCCAAAATTATTCATACAAAGCTGCATTCCAAGTGAGATCTTGGTGATTAGTTGTAAATCATTTTGCATTTTCACAAAAAAGTATCCCTGCTTTATTTAATAGAAAACAGAAATGTTGATTGTAAAAGAAATTGCAAAACTTTGCAAGACTTATTTCTCTGTGAAATATATACACATGAGAGATAGATATCTTGTGTGTATATGAAACTAAGAGGGTGTATGTATGTATGTACTCTTAGTTGCATGTATCATTATTCATCTTATATTTAATTTTTTTCACTGTACTAAGGTTCATTGACTTCAGTGGCATTCCAACCACTTAGACCAAGACCAAATTTGACGAGATTAATCCATGTACTTTAGTTGGTTCCTGCTTCTGATGTCACTGTGGAGTGCTTTTTCCTCTGCTTACGTTTCACGTTTGTTTCAAAGAAGGTGTTGCACTGATGGGAAGGTTAACATAACAATGAGAGGATTAAGGAGGGTAAACCTTCAGATCTGGAGAAGTTAAATTAATCTTCCCTTATTTATTTATCAAGTAGTGTTTGAAATGAACAGAGCCTCCTTAAAGTGTGCGATTATCTTGATGGGTTGCTGTTCACAAACTTTCATATAATGAGGAGCAATTCTATTCTCTATTGTATAAATACATGTTACATAAAATTAATCCTGCACATGGGGGACTGCATTCACCCCTCATTTAATTCCAGAACATATACTATCTATTAACCAGAAGAGCAGGAAGACAATTAAACAAATTAGGAATTAAACTTGATGTAATTATACATCCAGTGAAAGACAAAAGATTGGGCACAGTGGCAACTTAGAGACTAACTGGTTCAGAGAAGAGTGAACTTTCACAGGCAAACAGCTTACTTTGTCATCTGATACTGAAGTAGGCTGTTGCCATTGAAAGCTCATGCTTCTTTGAACCGATTAGCCTCTAAAGTGTCACCCTGCACTGTCTTCTGCCAGACTTCAGACTGACACAGCTTACCAACTCTGTGATCAGGTCAAATTGGACTTGCTTATTTTTAAAGTGGTCTATGAATAGCTATAGCAGAAGGAACTGAGGTATGCAGATTTGACATGTTGGATTTTTGTATGCTTTCACACTGCTTTTGGTTTTTCTTTGAATTTTTTTTCAAATTGGATCAATTTTGCTTTGATTTTTGGAGTCCAAATTGCCAAGTTTTGCAACATTTAAAACCTTGTCAAAGTGAAAAACCTTTGCTTGGGCCACACTGCTGCAAAAACAGATATCCCTATGCATCCCACCTTCACCTGCTGCAAACGCTAGTGCTAAGACAAAGTTTTGAAAGATGGGGAGTTTAGTGGATGGGAGGTGCACTTGTTAAACAAAACAAGCAGGAACTTGTAACATGACAGATGTTAGTCATGTTACTAAATGCACTCGAATACTATGGTAATGAATGTGACACAATTTCCTCTATTCTGCATTGGTTTTTATGTCTCAACCCAGCCCGGAACAAAGGGGATGGCATCCTGTCTCCCTAATGATCTCACAAGTAACCACAGAGCTCTGTTAGCACCAGGAATTAATTCTACACACCAGTCAACATTGAAGCATGAGCAGTGTGTAAACACCACACTAGCATTCTTGCCCATCCCTGGAAGGGTGGAGATCTAATGACTCAGATGCCCCTTCCCCCTGTTACAGCTATAAGTTTGGTAGCATTTTTCTGACAGCCCTGTAAGCAAATCCATCACGTTTCACATGGTTTTCATGCAGAATTATAAACTGATCCATGGTCAATTGAAACTTGGCTCAGGTTCCTTTCATGCTTGGCTTGGATGCTCTGAAAGGCTTGAAGAATTTGATAAAGCTGACCTCAGTTTCAGGTTTGCAATGACTCCTGCAACCACACAAGTTTAAAAACTGATTCAGAGTTATATTATGAATGTTTTACTGGCAAGTGTCATAATTAAATGTAAGGTTACAGAGGGCTCACCCTTATTTTGTTTTCTCCTAGAGATTTTTTTCAGTGGTCAGAAACAACCAGTAAAACCAAGTAAAATGCTAGAGACTATAGGGAGGCTGTTAGGAAGGCTAAGGCAGAGACAAAACTGGGACTAGCGACCTGGATCAAAAATAACAAGAAGTCCTTTCTTAAATACATAGGGAGTAAAAAGAAGGTACTGGCTAACGTGGGGCCCCTGCAGGACACGCGTGGAGATCTGGTGGTCGCTTCAGATGATAAAGCTGACCTCTTTAACAAATTCTTTGCCTTCATTTTTCTGAGCAGGGACTGGGACATTCCCTTTCTCTTTGGATGTGTTCAAATCAGCAGGTCCAGATGATCTCCACCCCAGGGTGATGAGGGAATTGGCTGAGGTCATTGTGGGACCCCAGCACAGCTTTATGAGCACTCATGGTGCTTTGGTGAGGTGCCAGAGGACTGGAAAAGGGCCAGTGTGGTCCACACTTTCAAAAAAGGGAGAAAGAAGGACCCAGGAAACTATCAGCCTGTTAGTCTTACCTCGGTCCTGGGGAAGCACTTTGAGAAAATTATCCAGGAGCACATCTGTGAGGGACCAGCAGGGGAGATTATGTTTAGGGGCAAACAACATGGGTTCATTAGGGGAAGGTCCTCTCAGACCAACCTGATTGCCTTCTTCGACCAGGTCACAAAATCCTTGGATGCAGGTGTCATAGTGGACATAGTCTCTCTGGATTTTAGGAAGGCTTTCAACACTGTCTCTCACCCCATTCTCATTAAAAAATTAGGCGACTGTGGTGTCAATGCCTACACAATCAGATGGGTTGCAAGTTGGCTGGAGGGCCGCACCCAGAGAGTGGTGGTGGATGAATCATTTTCGACCTGGAGAGATGTGGGCAGTGGGGTTCCCCAGGGCTCGGTCCTCAGGCCCGCACTGTTCAACATCTTCATCAGCGACTTGAACGAGGGGGTGAAAAGCACCTTGTTCAAATTCGCGGATGACACTAAGATGTGGGGGGAAGTGGGCATGCTGGAGGAGAGGGACAGGCTGCAACTAGATTTAGACAGGCTACAGGGGTGGGCGGATGAGAATAGGATGGGTTTCAATAGTGACAAGTGCAAGGTACTGCACCTAGGGAGGAAGAGCCAGCAGCATACCTACAGGCTGGGAAACTCCCTTCTCATCAGCACAGAGGCAGAAAAGGATCTTGGAGTCACTATTGATTCCAAGATGAACATGGGCCGCCAATGTGAGGATGCAGTCAGTAAGGCTAACCGCACCTTGTCATGGATCCATAGATGCATCATGAGGAGGTCCAAGGAGGTGATCCTCCCCCTCTATGCGACATTGGTCAGGCTGCAGTTAGAGTACTGTGTCCATTTCTGGGTGCCGCACTTCAGGAGGGATGTGGACAGCACTGAGAGGGTCCAAAGGAGGGCCACTCGCATGATAAGGGGGCAGCAGGGCAGGCCCTATGAGGAGAAGCTATGGGACCTGAACCTGTTTGGCCTCTACAAGAGA